TGTTATCCCGGTCAGCCAAAACTTTCACTTCTCAGCTTCCTCCTGCACATTCTTATCCGGATGAGAGCTTCTTTGTGGCGGCCATTGCTGACCGCCGCTCCATCACTTTCGGAAAAGCGAGTTAAGCCAGCTGAGGAGGGGGGTTGCGATTCCCCCAGACCCCTGCCGGATCTCCCCTATCTTCAGTTACCTCTACGGGGTAACTATAGCCCTAAAACCAGCTGGATCGGGGCACTCCAGCGGCGAGCGCAGCAGAAACCATGCACGATCACGGATTCCTGCCGCCGCCGAAGCCCTGCAAACCGGAAGTCTTCCTTGTATAGTCTATTATCAAGCTTCTTGTGTAGGCCTTCATCGTGTCCCAGAGATTCTGTAAAGATGTATCCTCTTTTCTATTTTCTTTAAAAAAGAAAACCAATTCTTTCTCTATTTTCTGTTTGAAGCCTTTTTCCTTTAATATCATATTATTTAAAGTCCATCTAAATCTCCTCTTTTGTCCTTTCCAAATGACTGTCATTGGGTTGTGGTCCGACTAGGTGCTTGTTTCTATTTCAATTTCTTGTATGTTAGCAAGTAATTCTGCTGACATCCATATCATGTCTATTCTAGACCATGTCTGTTTGAGTAAAAAGTATATTGCTTATTTTCCACATTTCTCTCTCTCCATGCATCTTTTAAGTTTGCTTCTTCTATCATTTGAAAGAAAGATTTTGGTAGTACCTTTCTAGTTTTCTTTGTTGATTTCTGCATTTTATAGTCCAACCAATCATTAATTATTCCATTGAAATCTCCCATCATACAAATATTAGCATAGTCCAGTTCAATTATTTTCATATTCCCTATTTTCCTGTAAAATTCTTCTTGGTTGTCATTTGGAGCATAAATTGCAATTAAAAGTGTTTTAACATTATTGTCCATTATTTCCACCATCAAAATCCTTCCATCGTCATCTGTGTAAATTAGTTCTGCCAAAATTGTATCTCTAATATATAAGACCACACCTCTTTTTTTTACATTGTGTCAATGATGTGAATAATTTCCCTATTTTTTTTGTTTCAATATATATTCGTGTTGTTTTTTGATATGTACTTCTTGTAAGCAAATTATGTCAAATTTTAATTTCTCTAATTTATGGAATACTTTTCTTCTTTTAGTAGCCAAATTAAATTCATTTATGTTAATCGTAATCAATTTTCTTTCATCCATGTTAAGCTTTATAAGAGGGTTTTATTGCTCTAGTAGATCTTAGTTCTCATTGGTCTCTGGGTACACCACCTACTGCACCTTCTTCTTCTTTTTCTTTTTCAATTACTGCTATACACTTCTCTTGAAATTCAATTAATGACTCTTCTTTTCTTGTGTCTTCCTCCTTTCCTCTAAGATATTCTAAGTAGAATAGCTCAGCTTTTTCAACTGTGTCAATTCTATGTCTTTGTTCCTGCCAGGTGAACAAGAGGCCTTCTGGTATCAGCCATCTGTAATTTACTCCTCTTTTAAGTAACTCTTTAGTCAAAAATAAATATTCTCTTCTCATCTCTCTTACTCTTCTTGATACCTGTTTCAGCACCACAATTTCTTTGTCTTTGTACTTTAATGTTTTCTCTCTTGCCACCTGCAGTATCTGTGTTTTAATACTCTTCTTGGTAAATCTGATGTGAACTTCTCTTGGTAACCTGTTTCTCATTGCATATCTTGTATAGACATGAAACACTTCATCCATCCCATCCATCATCTTCTCTTTGGTTATCTTTAGCGCTTCTGCCAGTATTTCTTGTCATTATTTCAGCAAAGTTTTCACCTTTTCCTTCTTCTACATTTTGAAATCTCAGGTGAAATTCTGATCTATCGATTTCCCGTCCTAATGGTCCACTCCTGCCCTTTTCAACATCGCTCAATCAAATATCAATATCTCCAATTTTCTTATCCCTTTGTATATCTTCTTCTTCAGTTTTCTTAAATCTGTCCTTATATTTCATCATCATCTGTTGAATGTTCTCTACTTTCTCATCTGTCTTTTCAGTTCTTTGCTCAATATTCTCAGTTCTTTGCTCAATATTCTCTATTCTCTTTTCAATCTTCTGGATTCCTTGCATAATCATCTGCAGTGTCACTTCCTTCTCTTTCTCCTGTTGTAACATTGTCTGTATTGATCGTTGTCCTCCAGATGGTGAAGAGGAGGCTATTGCTATTGGGGAAGCTGGGGCTGTTGTCTTTCTGCTCATATCTATAAAAAAAGAGAAAAAAAGGAAAAAAGGAAAAAGAAAATAAAAGAGAGCAAAGGCAGACAGCTGCCACTCCAAAAAATAAAAAAGGAAAAAAATCTTCAGGCACTTGTATAGCTTAATCCAATTAGTTGCAGTAATATGCAAAAAGAAAAAAGAAAAAAAGAGAAAATATAGAAAAAAGGATGAAAAAGTTTTTTTGAAAAAAAAAAGAGGGTAGGGGAAGGAAAAATAATAAAAAATAATAGTCTATGTATTTCTCTTAATAAAAAAGAGCGAAATAAAAAATTTATATTCTAGTTCCTGGTTTAAAAGGTTGAAATCCAAATCTAAAAATCCAACTAGAGGGGAAGTAGAAAAGAAGGTAAGAAATAGCAAACAATTCTGATAGGAAGCAAGCCACTGCCACTAAATATCCAGGGCTCTTTGGTAAATCAACTCAGACTTTCAAGTTCCAGTATTTTCAAGGACACTTCAATCTCCTTTCTCTCAACTTCAAACTCCGGACTCCAGCTACCTATAGTTTCACAGATGAGCACCTGTATAAACAATCTGCCATGCTCATCCCACTATCTTTTTCAGTGCAAAGCTCAGAGTCCTTGAGTATAACACAAATACATAAACATGTAAAAGAAAAAAGTAAACAGTGTATCCAAGCCTCTAGATGGCAGTGCTACTTATTTTTCTTCACTTTCATTTCCCCCTCATGTGTCCAAAGCCAGGAACAGAAGAAAAAAAAAGATAGTTTCTTTTTTTAAAAAAGAAATAAAACTCAAATCAGAAAGAAGAATCTTAATCAAAACAGACTTTCAAGAGAATTGTTTAAAAAAATAAAAATAGAAAATTTAAAAAGACCAGTTCAGTTTAAAATTAAGAAGCTTTGCCAAATTCCAAGTTCCAGTAAAAAGGAAAAAAAAGAAAACTTTCAATTTAACTAGTTTAATCTCGCCACTTAAGCTCTTTTCGCTTCACTTTTAATTCCACTTTAAGTCTTTCAGGGTGTTCTCTCCAAAAAACAATAAGTAAATGTTCATCTCACCAAACTGACACACTTTCTTCCAAACTCTTCCATTCCGGAGCTGTCCCAGCTTCAGCAGCTTGAATGGCTGCGTCTCTGCCACTGGCAAAAAGGGCTTTTTCCAGCTCAACCAGGGACTTTGCGATGTCCTTGGAATCAGCAGGACGTGCCCTTATCTATCACCGTCTCTACGGGATGATTTAGATCCGGTGGGACCATCCAGCAGCGGAGATATCAATGACGATCTTGGAGGATCAAGATCATGTGTTGTACTGCCGCGACGCCAGCTCCGCCCTCGCCAGTGCTTTTTTTGACATTCTCCCAAGTTGTTTTCAGCATTGACATCAAGCTGACTGAGGGGGGGGGGGTCCCTTGGATACTCAGGCATTGGGACGAAGTCCATGCCACTCACTACCTTGAAGGGGGTTAGTCCTGTGCTACTGTGAACAGCATTATTGTACGCAACCTCCACGAAAGGCAGGAGATCCACCCAATTGGACAGCTGATTATTTAGAGTTACCCTGTGCTAAGATGGGTAATCTTATAATATAGTTATACATCTGAACAATATCAATATGAATATAACAGAACATATAGAAGAGAGTGGACAGCCATTGGTCTAAAATGGTGTGGTAAAACGAGTCCCCTGCTCGAGGAGTGGGGTGGGCTAGAAGTCCTCCAAGGTCCCTTCCAATTTTGTTATTCTATGTTCTGTTTTATAACAGCTCCAAAAAAGGCTGTACGTAAAGGACCCTTGAATAATCTTCCTACCAGCCAACTGTTCTATGGATATTTTCAAACACTATACAATGCTCTTGGAAAGGAATACTAAATCCATCTTCAAAAAGAGCCTAAATAACAGTTGATGAGCAGTGGGAATAGTCAGCCACTTTACCCTGCATACATATTCAATCCCACTGCTGGTAGATGTTAATCATGTTTCTATTAAGAAGAGGAACCCGAATAACAGCTGACTGATGGGGGAAAGACTTCACAATTAAGTGACAGAACAACTTTGAGATCTGAATCCATGGACTTGGAGGTAAAGAGGTTTAGATTGCTGAGGTGTGATTATGATGTTTTTCTCAAGCCCTAAAGAGCTAAAATGTGAAGTGCTTGACTGATCTTTTCAACCTCCCTTTGTGTAAATAATAACTGCGTTTATGTCATAAAGCAGTGTGTTTTATTTGGCTTAGCACAATAGTATAGGTTGTTCTTACTTAAGAACCACAATTAGAACCAGGAACTCAGCTGTTAAGCAAAGTGGTTGTTAAATGGAACTGCGACTGTCCTTATGATCTTACCCAGCTTATTTTAAAGACCTGGGAATTGTAACAGTGAGGATTGGTCATAAAGTTCCTTTTTTATCACTGTTGTAATTCAGGGAACACTGTACAGCCGATCGTTCCAGCTTATAAGCAATAGTCTACTATATCCTTTCTGTTCAATTAATAAATGCATTGATAATTAAGGAAGTTGTGGTTTTGTAAAATGCATTAGCCAGCCATTCAGAAAAATAGTGTAGGGTTGCTAGTATTATTTCACATACAGTTTTGTGCTTATTTTTACAGCTTTTCTGAAAAAATATTTCCCAGCTCTAGAAATAAGTAAAAGAAGACTGGAAAAGTGCTTTGCTTAAGAAAAATAATATTTTAGTGCTCTGTATGGTTTTTAATTTCCAAATATAGTCTTATTCCTGCAGTTTGGACAGTGCTTTTTTAAAAAAATAAACTATTGTTTGTCATATTTATTTTTCCAAGGTATCTTCATGGTCCTTTCTCTCCTGTCAATTGTGTATGGAGCACTGCGATGCAATATTCTGGCCATTAAGATCAAGTATGATGATTATGACATCAGTGTGAAACCTGCTGCCTACCTTTGCATTTTCCTCTGGAGGAGCTTTGAGATTGCAACAAGAGTGATAGTCCTTGTCCTCTTCAGTTCAGTTCTTCAGATCTGGATCCTGCCTGTGGTGCTGGTGAATTTTTTTGCTTTTTTCTTTTATCCTTGGATTCAGTTCTGGAACAGCAAGTGTACTCTGCCAGAAAACATAGAAAAAGCCTTGAGCAATGTAGGCACCACCATTGTTTTATGTCTCCTCACTTTTCTGTATGCCGGCATCAATATGTTTTGCTGGTCAGCAGCGCAGTTGAAGCTGAATGATTCTGATTTAATTGACAAATCCCCAAACTGGGGTAGACTGGCTTTGTACTATTTGCTGAGATTCTTTGAGAATGCTTTTCTCTTACTAATGTGGTACACATACAAGACAGATGTCTATACATATATATGTGCTCCAGTGCTGTTCTTACAACTGCTGATTGGCTATTGCATAGCTGTCCTTTTTATGCTTGTGTTCTACCAGTTTTGCCATCCATGCAAGAAGCTTTTTTCTTCCAATATTTATGAAGGATTGGTAATATGCTTCAAGTTTTTTTGTTATGTCTGCAAACCTCTGACATCTAGCAACTCTGTAGAAAAAGAGAAATTAAAATTCCCAGAGAATATTGAAAATGATGCCCTGGCTAGTTACAAGGCAAATGAATCCCAAAATGGAAGCACTCAGCAGAGTGTGTCTTCTAATGCATAGAGTGGATATCTGAGTCTCACAAGACTCTGCAAAGAATAGCACTTCAGATCTTCTTTTGCTCATAAAACAGGTATAGTAAATGGGATGTGTCAACATTATATCTTAGGCAATGTTTGTAGGTTTATTCTTTGCAATGGGTATCTCCTTTCAAAGCTCCTGTGCTTATTAAGATAGAAAGCATGTTTTCCTAGCAAGTTGTTACAACTTTGGTTTGGTTAGGCAGAAAGTGTGTAGATAATGAAATGCTAACCACTCTTAGTTACAGATTGTGACTATTGAGATTATGTAATTCACAGAGCAAAGTCCAGATGCCAAAGGATCAAAACTTAGCCAGCAGTGTACTGCAGCTGCCAAAAAAAGTCAATGCAGTCCTTGGCTGCATTAACAGAGGGGTAAAATTAACATCACATGCTTTATAATGCCTTGATAAGAAATACTGCATGCAGTTTTGGTTGCCAAAATATAAAAGAGATGTTGAGATTCTAGAAAAAGTGTAGAGAAGAGCAACAAAGATGATTTGAGGTTGGAGGCTAAAACATATGAAGAACAATTGCAGGAATTGGGTATGTCTAGTCTCATGAAAAGAAGAACTGTGATGGCAGTGTTCCAATATTTGAAGGATTGCCACAAAGAAGAGGGGAGTCAATCTGTTCTCTAAAGTACTTAAAGGCAAGAAAAGAAGCAATGGATAGAAACTAAGCAAGGAGAAAACCAATCAAAAATTAAGAAGAAATTTCCTGAAGAATTTAACCAGTGGACTGTCTTGCCTCCAGAAGTTGTGGGTGTTCCATCATTGGATGTTTTTAAAAAAGAAGGGGCAACCATTTGTCTGAAATGGTATAGGGTCTCCAGCTTGAGTGGGGTGTTGGAGTAGAAGAACTCCACGATTCCTTCCATCTCTGTTGTTCTATTATTCTGTTTTTCACCTACTATCAAGTTTATCTATGTACCAAATGGTATCATTTCATCTGACTCTCAAAATTGTAACAGGTTTTTTTTTCAGAATCCAGAACTCAATATGGAAAAATTGCTGATATACTAAATTCAGGAATTTTATAATGCCCTGTTAAATGTTCTTTCAAAGCTGTTACATGTTGTAAACAAAGTCCAGAATACAGCATAAAGGCTTTATTTATAGTCCTCTCTTTATTGATATTTCTTTATTGAAGGCAACAAATTTAAGCCTGAGGTACCAAAAGGCAGGAGAAAAGACCCCGGTAGGAAATAGAAATAAATACAGGACAGAAAATAAAAGATAAATAAATAGATAGGACAACAGTGGAAAATTAGAAATCAAGGAAGAATAGGATTAATAAAGATCAATCAAATAAATAAGGCAAATCTTAAAAAATAAGAGCTCAAACAATTTAAAAATATAGGGAAGAAAGGGATAAATAAAACCAACATAATAATAAGCAAGTTAAATAAATAACAAGATAGAAAAACAAGCACAAAAAGGCAGAAAAAAGAATAATAAAAAAGAAACAAAACTTTTTACCCTTAAAAGAACCAGGAAAAAAACCAAACTCATGGAACAGGTGACTGATACTATTGTGGTATGCAATATATGTTCCATGTATGTACTTATGCTCAACTAAGCTGCCACGTGCGGCGCAGCCAGCTGTGGGCCTTGAGCAGCACCCCCCGCCCTCCCAAAGTACTCGAAGCCCCCTGCCACCGTCGTCGCCACCGCACGCCAAAGGCCGCCCATTTCCTATGGTAGGATTGGGGTGGGGCAGGGGTGCACCACCGCCGCATGCCGAAAGCTGCCCATTTTCTTTGGGAGGATCGGGGTGAGGCTCAAAGTCCCCTGCCACCGTTGCTGACGCTGCATGCCAAAGGCCGCCCGTTTTCTATGGTAGGATCAGGGTGGGGTGGAGGTGCACCACTGCCGCATGCCAAAAGCCATCCGTTTTCTTTGGGAGGATTGGGGTGGGGGTGCTCAAAGCCCCCTGCCACTGTTGTCGCTGCCGCACGCCAAAGGCCACCCGTTTCCTATGGTAGGGACAGAAAGAGGGGATGGAAGGAAGGGATAGAAAGAAAAGGAAAGAAAGAGAGGGAGAGAGGGAGGGGAGAGAAAGAGAAAGAGAGGGGAGACAGAGAGAGAGAGAAAGAGAGGGAAAGAGAGGGGAGAGGGAAAGAGAAAGAAAGAGAGGGAAAGAGAGAATCCCACCCCTGAGGGGCTCCTGCCCCGCCCCCCCTCCCCAGTGACAGAGAAGGCAGGAATGATTGGGTCATATAGAAAGTCAGCATACAGGCACCCGATCCTGGTTGCCTTAGGAACCTTTTGTTTACAATATCTGTAAATTTGGAATTTTCCCTTCTGTGCTACAAATTCATTTTTGTTAAGAGCATGGGATGTTTGAGTGTTATATTTCTGAAATGTTTTTTGTGTGCATTCATGAGTTTGAGTGTTATATTTCTGAAATGTTTTTTGTGTGCATTCATGGAAGTCGTTAACTTTGATTTGTCAATCTTGGGTTGCCTGATTATTACCTTCAGGTGAATTTTTGAGGTTAAATAGAGTCTTAAGTGAAGAATAAAGTTTCTCCATTCACAGTTCCTAATGTCTGGTTTTTGAAGAAAGGATCATTTCTTTTTCTTTTTTCTTTTTGTAAATTTTATTAGTTTTTAAAGACAAACATAAACAAACAAAACATAAAAACATCAAACTTTCTTCCATAAGTGTACAAGCAGTGTGCCGGTTGGCTTACAAATTTTTTGTGTGCATCCATTTCATAGTCTTCAGTTACAGTTACATTGCATAATAGCTCATATTATCAATCAAAAATTGAATACCCTAGTATCATTATTAATCAATCATTTGACAATAATTTTATTCCTTCATATTTTGCAAGATAACCATAGTTTACTTAATTTCTTTTATAACAATTCATATAATCCTTCCAAATCTATCCTAAAAACATTTTGTAAGTATAATAAAAAAAGAAAAAATACATCTTTATATATTTATTATTTATTTATGTTATGTCTCACCTATATTCATAGGTGAGAATACAAAGTTCCACAGTTCAAAATGTTCAAACAAGAACAAAACCAGACTTAAAAGGGTTAACAGCACTGTTTTCCAGTCCTTGGCAGACTTCCCGGAATCTGTCTGGCAATTCAGAATTGTCCATAAATCACAAAGGCCGGTCCAAACGTATCCTTTCGACTCATCAAACACTTTGCTTCCAAGCAAAGTTTGAGAGTCAGCACACCTCCTTAAATCACCTGGATGGCGTGTCAGTCTCTCTAATCAATGTCTGGCTTGACGCCTCCCTTCAGATTGACGTTTCAATTTTCTCCTAGTTCTAGTGTCAAGCCAAGATCTGTCAGTTTCCTCACTAGAAGCCTCTGGCTCATTTTGTGGATCAGTTGCTGGCATGAGCGAAGTCGAAGGTTCTGGGGAGGATTGTCTCTGCGACAATCTCTCATCCTCCTGGCTCATATCTGTGTCCTCTGATAATTCAGACTCCACATTCACAGCAGGCTCCAACCTTCCATCTTCAGAGTCATCAGAGTCAAAACTCCCAGCAGGATCGATCCTTCCAGTCACAACAATTTATTATTTTCTAAAGTTCTACATATTTCATTATTGTATTTTATTATCTAACCATTGATAGAAAAGGTCCCAAATTTTATAAAATTGTTTATCCTCTTGTTCTCTAATTTCAAATGTCAATCTACTCATTTCAGCACATTCCAATATTTTCTTAATGATTTCCTCCTGCGGTGGTATTTTCTCATTTTTCCAGTTTTTAGCAAATGCAATCCTAGCCACTGTTAATACATTTACAATCAGGTATTTCAAGTCTTTGCTATATGTATCAGGTAAAATTCTCAATAAAAATATCTCTGGTTTCAAATCTATATGTTTTTTTGTCATTTTTTCCAACCACATGTGGATTTTAGTCCAGTATTTTCTAGCGTCCGCACAAGTCCACCACATATGGTAATATGAGCCAGGTTTCTGATGACATTTCCAACATTTTTCGGATTTGTTCTTGAACATTCTTGCTATTCTTGTCAGGGGAAAGTGCCACCTATAAAACATCTTATACAAATTTTTTTTATATGCTGTTGGCATTGTCATTTTATAATTTTGAGACCACAATTTTTGCCATTTCTCTAAATCAATCCCATATCCAAAATTCTTCCCCCAAGCAATCATGGTTTCTTTAACTTGTTCTTCTAGTTTAATTTCTAATAGATATCCATACAATTTTTTAATTACTTTTTCATCAGTACCTGTCAAAATCTTATCTAAGTCAGTCAGTTTATCATAGAAACCTTCTGTTTTAAAATCTTTATCATACCTTGAATGTATTTGCGCATATGAAAACCAATTCATCTTTATACCTTGTTCCTCTAATTTTTGCATAGATTTAAGTTCACCCTTTTCATTCAATATTTCCCCATATCTAACTGTTTGTTCCTTCTTGTATATTATAGGATAAGAAAATGCTTCAATAGTCGATAACCAGACTGGAATTTTCAAATAACATTGTCTTTTAATCTTCTCCCAATTTAGCCACAGAGACTCCCGTATGTGATGTCTTGTAAAATATCCCTGTATTTTAGTTCCCTTGTACCATAAAAAGCGTGCCACCCCAACAACAAATCATGTCCTTCTAATGTCAACAATCTAATATTTCTTAATGTTATCCATTCCTTGACCCACATCAAGTTTGCAGCTTGATAGTACAACTCCCAATTAGGCAAACCAAATCCTCCTCTAATTCTAGCATCTTGCAAAAGTTTTAACTTTATTCTTGCTTTCTTGCCTTGCCATATATATTTCAACACAATTTTATTTAAATCTTCAAAATAGTCTTTTCCAAGTCTAATTGGAATTGTTTGGAACAAATATAAAATTCTGGGTAATATATTCATCTTGATTGTTGAAATTCTCCCTATTAATGACAGTTGTAGATTTTCCCATTTCGCCAAGTCTAACGCTATCTGCTGTTTAAGTTTAATATAATTGTTCTCTTTTA